TACATCATGGATAAGTTGATGACGAAGGTTGCTGCCTACGACCTGTGGGATCACTTAGTCGACATCTTCAAGTTCTGCATCCCAACGAATGATGGGCACGAATGGCACTGCACAGAACGGAAAGATTGGGTAAAGATCCTCGCCCTCTTCATGCCAATCACCCACGGCAAGAGGGACGGAGAGAAAGTCAAGGTCGAGGTCTTGGCCGAGAAAGCCAAGTTGAACAGGGCTTTCAAAGCGAAGGCTGCCGCGGACACCACCGAGAAGGACGAGGGGAAGAAGGATAAGACTCGCAAGAAGGGCAAGGGCAGGGGAGCGAAAGGGAAGGGCAAATCCACCGAAGTCTTCAATCAGTTCCAGGCAACCAAGGGCGGCAGGGATGTGATCATGTTCGAGGAGATCATCGGCACCATTGAGTACGCGGTAGAGGACATCGGCGACCAGTACATCAATCGCAGCGTGCTTTCACAGATGAAGGATGTTTGCATCACTTGGGCGTTGCAAGGCGGCACCGTCGAAGCACCTCCGCTCGTCGCCCAGGCGCAAGTTCTGAAGTACGAGGCCGATGAGAAGAAGATCGAGAGGCTGAAGAAGACGTTGGTGAAGACTTCATGGTCGTCACTGAAGAAGCACGTCGTGATGCTCATCCGAGAGAGGCGCCAATTCGCCCCCAAGACCGACATGGACGCCGTGCTGGGAGAAGATACTCAGGAACATACTTCGTCGGCAGCGACCGGGGGCAGCGTCGCTCGCATGAAGCTTGACCCTTCCGAGTTCCCTGGCGCCCTGAACGTCTGCAAGCTGGAGGAAGCGGTTGCCATGGTCACGGACGAGTGCATGATCATCTACAAAAACTTCATCAGCAAGAACACCCCGAACCACATGTTCTGCCCGACGGGCGTGCTCAAGATGAGCCAGCCAGCCCTTCAGAGCATGGGATCAACCTTGTACGCTCTCGTGACAGACCCCGATGCCATCAAGCAGTGGCCTAGCATGGACGTGGACGAGAGCATCAAAACGTTCGTTGGCATGATTGCCTCTGCTATATTTCGGACGATGCCGCAGGACATGGTCCATTTCATGCGTACTCTTCACACTGCGGTCGATGAGTCAGGAAGTGGTTACGCAGAGCTATCAAAATCGAAGATCAAGGTGTTGCGGACCGCGCTGGAGGTGTGGCCGCGCTTCGCCGACCTGGAGAGGTAGGGGGCCACGCGCGAACCATGCCCCTAGCCTCCGCGATTTCTGAGTGGGAGGGTGGGGTTCAGGAGGGTCACCTTGCTCGGAGCAAAGTGAACACCACCCTCCCCATCAGAAATCGTGGGGGATATGGGTAGGGTTCGAATGTGGACCCCTACGAGGGCCTTGGGCATGCGTGGCAAGTACGCCCTGAATCTGATTGCAGATGCTCCAATGCTCATGGCTGCAGCCGCCCACGCATCCGACGAACAACACGATGACGCTTTCGATAAGATGACCGAGCTCTGGGGGAAGCTGAAGCTCGCGGCAAGTTTCATCGACAACTACTCGCTCGAAGCCTGTGCAGCCGACGCCCAGGCCACCTGCCAGGACACTTGGGTTGCGATGTGGAGCAAGCTTTTGATCGAGCTCATGAAGAATCCGAGCGACTCGATTGCTAAGAGGCCTAGGACTGAGTTGGAGCTCAAGGAATGGGCCCGCGCACAGTCTGCAGTGCTCGACTCCAAGACGAAGTCCGATCTTGCAAATCAGGCGTGCTTGATGGGCTACAACAGCAAGGATTGCAGCAAGAACGAGATCATCGCCTTCATCGTCAAGAAGAGGGTTGAGACTGAGAGGAAGAAAGATCTTGACATAAGTTCAGAGCAGAAGCAAACGTTGGCGGCAGCCTTGCAGAAGATCAGCGAGGGTGAGAGCCCCATGGCGCTGAGCATCGTCAGTGCAGACAACGAGCGCTCGTCTCCGACTGATTCCTACACGGCCTTGGGTTATCGGCCAATCTCCGTCGACACCTCCGCCAACGAGTTCGTGGCGATGGCTCTCGCAAACAGGATCACGTCTTTCATGATGGGCCAGTTGAGTAAGGATGTTGGCGCGGACATGGTCAAGCATAAGGAAGTTGTGAAGCCAGATGGAACAACTACGATCACTGCCAAGATGTTCAGCGACTTCGGCTTCGACAAATCTCAAAACAGCTGCAAGGAGTTGTCCTTCACGATGTTCGGGAATACTTTCTTGATGAAGATCGGGGTGCAGCCGACGCAGAGGGCCATCGCGCGCCTCGGCGAGGTGGTGATTGGAGGGGCCACCTACGTCATCTGGGCTTCGCCAACGCCTGCGATGCATAACCCGACAGGCGGACTGTTCGTGCCAGCGTGGGGCGTCATCAAGATCAGAGAGTATGAGGACGGCACTGCTCCGAACACTACCCTGAGTACGACTCGCGTTGAGCTGGAGGTCCCTGAGTGCTCCGAGCCGTTTGCTCTTCCAAAGTGTACGTTGTCTGTTCCTGTTCTCATTCCAAACATCGAGTTCCTGAAAAAGAATGGTGCCACCGAGATGTTGGAGTTGACAAGGCCGGAGCTTCCAGAGGAGAAGCACGTGAGGCTTGCGTCGTCATGCAACACTCGCAACAAGCGCACTCTTAAGGCTGAGGGCTCCGACGATCTGAACGGAGAGCACGTGCAAAAGTTTGCGAAGCGAGCCGCAGCATAGATTCTTTTCTTCTAGCCTCTTGCACGCAGTTGGTTGGACTGCGATCCCATCGCGGCACATCACATACAATAGTATGCAACGTCTGGGCTGCGGGTTGCCCAGCTTGTCGCGGATGGTTGATTTAGCATTGATTCAGTAGGGCCTGGCATGGCCCCGATCAGCCGAGTGCCGATGAGGAGATGAGGAGCAGTGGGAGAGTCACTCGAGGGATGCAGGGATGATGGCAGGCAACGATCGGGGATGCCAGAACAGTGCGACAGCAGCAGTTTCTTGAAGTCTCTGATGAAGTTTCTTGGAGATAGCGGCGTGTGAAACATCCGTCCTCCTTGCCATCCGCCCTCTGTTTCTCCCCTCCTCCTCCTCCTCCTCAGCCTCCTCCTCCTCCTCGCAGCCTGGGGGGTGGGGGCCGAACGTGGAGCCCGACGTCGACGTCGGCAGCCAGCCAGGACCCCCCCCGCGCGCCTGCCCCGCGCGAGCACGAGGAGAAGGAGGAGGAGGGGGGAGGAGGAGGAGGAGGAGGAGGAGGAGGAGGAGGAGGAGGAGACGGGAAGAGTAGGGAAGAGACTGATCGAGGATCGAGGGTGAGGATTTTTGTTAGCGAACGGAGCCCAAGTAACTGCTAATCCAACAGGCCACGAGGAGGAGGAGGAGGAGAAAGTATGAGCGAGGAGTGAGGATGAGGATGAGTTGTTGTTACGACTGCGTCGGCGGATTGCGAATTCAAATGCGTTCAGAAAGGCTGCGGTCGCGCAAAGACCTATTATTTTTCAGCGCATACGGCGCTGAAAACCATTGATTTTCATAGCGGTTGGGCCTTAGCTGAAATCGGACCGAGACGACAAAATAGGGCCTTTCATTTGGTTCCCAGGCCCCAGGGAAGAAAGTCCGGACCCGTGGGGCCGCGCATGGAAAACACATCGTCGGAGGACTGGGCCTCCTCCTCGCTACTCCTCATCCTAGCTCCTTATCTTCCCCATCCTGTCCTCAAGGCAGGGACAGGACGCGGACAAATTTAGAGGAGGACGAATCGGGGAGATTTAAAAGCCGACGGGTCCAGGCGCCGAGGCCGTTTCAGAGCGTTCTGGAACGCCCTGGGATCGACCCAAACTCCCTGGAGCCATTTAGTTATCCCCGTCCTAGGCCTGGTTGATGTTCCGCATCTTCGGCCTCCCACTGGGCCGTTTCTCGGCGCCCAGGGCCGTCCAGTGGCACGCCCGAAGTGGGGACGATGCCCAAGAGCTGATGTTGTCCAAGACTGGCCGCGGCCGCTGTTGAGCAGGCGACATCTGTCCAAACTGGGCAGCGTCCGTGGCGGCACTGACAGCGGGCCCTGCTCAAGATGGACTATGGACTGCTGTCGGCCTACGTCCCCATTCTTTCGAAAGTTTCTGGGCTGGAATGCCAACTTCGCCACGTCCAGGGAAAGTCAGTAGACGAATAGGGAAATTGGATCGGATCCGAATTCGTGTCAGATCGGGCTGCATCGGCACTGAGTCGAAATCGAATTCGATCGGCCGCGCCAGGATGCACACGGGTCGCATCGGATCGCCAGAATACTGGGACCGAATTTGATTGGGCTGGACGGGATCGATATCGAATCGGATCGATGGGATCGACATTGGTCTTGAGTGGTGACCACCCTTGTCGGCTTCACGCAAGGCTGACCCTGGGCAAGAATAACCTTCGGTGCGCCGCAGGGGGGCCGGAGAAAGAGAGAGCGAGAGAAAGAGAGAGAGAGATGAGAGATCAGAGAGAACCCCCACGTCTTGTTTTTTGCAGCACGCGAGGGGGTCTTGGGTTCTACGAGGATCCCCGACCCTAGTCCTCACACCCCAGATCCCCGACGGCATGATTTTTGTCACGACGTGGACCCCCAAAGAGGTCTGAACCCCTTCCTGGGGTCCAGCTATCCATCCTGAATCGTCTTTTGACTGTCCCCGGACCCGGCGAGGGCCCGCAGAGTCAGGCAGTTGCCAAAAACGTCCCGTCGTGGTTTTTGTCACGAAGGGGGTCCGGAACCACTCGTCGACTACTGCAATTGACGTCAAATGCCTCGGTACGGCCCAGCCTCCCGCGTCTCGTGCGCCCCCAGCACTGTTGACGGCTTCACGACGTCTGCTGTCCCTCGACTCGCGCTGGAGGTTTCACGAATCCTCCACAGATGTGTCTGGATATCTATCTCTGGATTCACTTCGATGTGTCCAGGTTTCCTTTAGGTAGGCCTCGCTTTTAAGGCTTGAAGATCCCCGCAAGCCGATTAGTGACAAGTCGTCGAGCACTCGAGGAACCCCCCCCTCGGCCGGCTCCTTCGCGTGCCGGTGCCTCTCCCGCTGCTCGATGATCCTCCGCCGCGGCGCCAATTGTGCGGTCTGTGCCACCCTTGTCGTCACGCCGCCGTCGTCGTAACCGCCGTCGTCGTCGTCGTCGCCGTCGTCGCCGTCGTCGTCGTCGTCGCCGCCGTCGTCGTCGTCGTCGCCGCCGTCGTGGTCGTCATCGCCGTCGCCGCCGCCATCGTCGCCGTCGTCGTCGTCGCCGTCGCGTCGTCGTCGCCCTCCCCTGAGGTCTGGGCGTTGTAATTATTTCGCACTGGGCGTGCTCGAAACCCCCTGCGAACCGCGTGGCCATCACGTGTCAATCCGACTTGGATCGTGCCGCACAGAGGTGGGGTCTGTAAGGCTCCAATCGTGATGTTTCGCTCGTCGTCGCGTCGTCGCCGTCGTCGCCGTCGTCGCCGACGTCAACGTCGTCCTCCTCCTCTTCCTCCTCCCCCACATCTCCGACGATATGATGTCTTTTGTTTGTTTTGCACTCTTGGACTTTCCCCTGGATCGCGGCCTCCAGACCGTCAAAAACGGATCCCAGACGAGACACCGAATGCCCCCGGGGAAAGGTTCCGGACATCTGGGGCTGCACATTGAACAATCACATCGTCGGAGATCGGTGCCTCCTCTTCGCTCCACTCCTCCTGGCCCTCCTCTCCTCCGCCTCCTCATACCCTCATGCTCCCCTTCCCTTCCTCTAAGACAAATGTAGGGCGAGAACAAATTCGGATGAGGACGAATCGGGCATCCAAGAGAGCTGGCCGGCCTGGAGGGCGTGTCAGGCGCCGCGGCCATTCCAGAGCGCTCGGGAACTCTCTGAGATCTTGCTGACTGTTCTTCAATCGACTTGCGGGTATCAAGCCGAATAAGTCCAGGTGGATCCAGGAATATCGAGGCACATCACAACAAATCGATGTACATCCAAGAGCAACAACACCAACAACACCACCACCACCACCAACAACAGCAGCAACGGCAGCAGCAACAGCAACAGCAACAGCAACATCCACAACTGCAACTACAATTACAACTACAACAACACCAACGCCATCACCAACACCAACACCGACACCAAAAACAACAACCACCACCACCAACAACAACAGCAACAACAGCAGCAGCAGCAACAACAACAAGAATGTTAAGACTGTTCGCCCTTATTTGCTCGAGTGCCCAATAACGCGTATTTCCCAAACCCTCGATACCCGCCCTTTTCGTCTTCGATCGAACCCCTTTTGGGGGGTATACCTTTCTTCCCTGCAGGCCGGGCCCCGGCAAGCGGCGGGGCGGCCGCGGACCGTCGGCCTGGCCAGCGGCAGCGCTGATCGGCGGGGCGGCCGCGGACCGTCGACCCGACCCCAAGAGGGACGGACAGGGGACCGACCACGACGACGACGACGACGACGACGACGACGACGACGACGACGACGACGACGACGACGCGACGACGAGCGAAAGCGAGAGCGAGAGAGAACGACAGCAGGGCCACGAAGGGCACGAAGTAGGCCACGAAGGGCGACAGCGGGGACACGAAGGGAATGCGTATGGGGCCACGAAGAGCGCGAACGAGCGGGGGCCACGAAGTGCAGATAATGCGGGGCCACAGAAGGCAACTATGGGGCCACTGAGGGTAGCAACTGGGCCACGTAGGACAGTGAGGGGGACACAAATTGCGACAGCGGGGCCACGAAGGGCATGCACATGGGGCCACAACGGGCGCGACTCCTGGGTGCCTGGGTGTCGGGAGCGCGGCGCTTGGGCAAATTGCAGGAAATTCCAACGCAAGGCCATTCTTCAGTAAATTGCAAGCAAGTCTCCAGCGAGAGCGCGACTCCAGAGCGCCGGGAGAGCGATTCTTAAATAAATGTTAAAGAAGTCGAGAGCGCGATTCCTTAATCAAATGCGAGGAAATCTCGGGCGAGAGCGGGGGTCCTGGCTAAATTGTAAGGAAGTCTCAGGCGGGAGCCGTTGTTGTTGTAACCCGGGGGCCAGGGGCCCAGTTTGAGCATGAAGACTCCCCCTAACAAAAAACAGGGTGCGAGCGTCGAGGGGCACACTTTGATTGAGAAACAACAATATGCACCGGTGGGGGGGATCAACAATAATTATTCTTCAGAAATGAGAATTCAACAACAGCAACAACATCAACAACAACAACAACATCAACAACAACAACAACGACAACAACAACAGCAACAACAACAACAACAACCACACCACCAACAATAACACCAACAACACCAACAACAACACCAACACCAACACCAACAACAACACCAACAACAACAACGACATCAACAACAGCAACTGTAACAGTAACAACAACAGCAACAACAGCAACAACGTCAACAACAACAACAACAACAACCACAACAACAACAACATCAACAACATCAACAACATCAACAACAGCAACAGCAACAGCAACACCAACAACAACACCAACAACAACAACGACATCAACAACAGCAACTGCAACAGTAACAACAACAACAACAACAACAACAACAACAACAGCAACAACGTCAACAACAACAACAACAACCACAACAACAACAACAACAACATCAACAACATCAACAACATCAACAACAGCAGCAACAACAACAATAACAACAACAACAACAACAATCATTTAAGACTGGGGACACTCCGTTCTCACCAGTGCCAGGGTTTTCATAGGAGGCGGGCAATACCCCCACTTTGTGGGGGGGGCCGGTTCAAGCTCTACCAAATTTCCATACGACTCTTCGCCACCACCCACACCCAGCTTCCCGCCCTATGACGTTCGGACACTTCACAACGAACTTCCCCGCGGCCGACGACGACGCGCGGCGGAGCGTGGCATTGGCTACTATTCAGGGCCCCGCGGCCGACGACGACGGCGTGCGCGCGCGAAGAAAAAACGAATGTGTCCAATATGGTATTATTTGACAGGGATGATGGCCCTGGCATGCGCGCAACCGTTGTTGCAGAAGTTCGAAGCACGTGAAAAAGTTGCTCGCAAGAGCCCGTTTGACAGAAATGTTGAAAAAATATTGGGTTTCCTCAGAAATCCGCAAGAGCGCGCAAGATGAATTTTTGAAACTTTTTTTTTGAAAAACCATTGGGTTTTTCATGTTTTTATGTTAAAATCGCTACGAAAACTAAGGTTTTGGAAGGATTTCATCTTGCGCGCGCGAGTGTGCACTTCGTGTCATTTTTTTCAAAGGATTCTTGAAGTTTGGTTATGTTAGAACAAGAAATTTCATTTTATAGTGTTTTTTGCAAGGGAAAGCGGGCGTCAACAAAACAACCGGATCCGGACACCCACGTTTTGCCTGAGACTTCCTCACGAAAATGATGAAAATGTGGCTGCGGCCTAGGCGCGGCGAGGGGGCCGCGCACCAGGGGCCCCAACAATAATTATTCTTTAGAATAAATAATGTTCAACAACAACAACAACAATCACTTTACCCGAACGCTCAGTGTTCTCACCAGTGCCAGGGTTTTCATGCGACGCCAGCCAATACCCCCACTTTGTGGGGGGGCAGTGCAAGCTCTACCAAATATCCACACGACTCTTCGCCACCACCCGCACCCAGCTTCCCGCCCTATGACGTTCGGACACTTCACTTCGTGGCCTGCGGACGACCGTGGCTACTACACTGGCGTGGAGTACACACCCACAGAAGTTGTTAAGCCTACGTTCGTACACCCACAGAAGTTGTTAAGCCTTGTTAACCCACAGAAGTTGTTAAGCCTTCCACAGAACATCTGTTGCATATGATGCATATGGTACATGATACACATGAGACACATGATACGTACTCACAAGATAGTTGATCACATCTTTAGGGCAAATTCCTGAGGGATGTGGGAATACACAAGAGAGAGAGGATATGGTTGTCCCGATGGTTGTCTCGATGGTTGTCCCGATGGTTGTCCTGATGGTTGTGGTTGTCCCGATCGTTGTCCCGATGATTGTCCCGATGGTTGTCCTGATGGTTGTGCTTGCCCCGATGGTTGTCCTGATGTTTTTCGAGGACCTACGGTGCGATTCGTGTGATTTTATGATGCGCGGTGCTAAAATTCTTAAGAAGCCCAATGGTTCTTGGAGATTTCGGCGTGCGCTGAGTAGGGTTTTTCCCTGAACCGCAAAACGGCTGCGGACGCGTGGGATCTCGACACGCCTCCCGAGGGCGCTCGCGCTGCTCCAGCGCGCCGCGCCCGAGCGCCCACGCGCTCCGGCCTAGATTCCAAGCCTCCTGGCTCAAGCCGTCAGCGTCAGCTCGTGCTGGCCCTCGGCGAAGGTGAAGCCGAGGCCCTTGCAGCACGTCACGATCTTGTCGTGCACAAGATGCTTGGTGAGTAGATCAGCTAGCATCTCACTCGTGTGTCGCTTCGCGACCCGCACCTTCAGTGCCTCGATCCGCTCCTGGACCCAAAGGAAGACGGTGTCAATGTGCTTGACCTTCCCAAGTCCGCGCCTCGATGCCATGCCAATGGCGGCAGTTGCATCGATGTTCACACCCAGACCGTACTTGAGGTTCCAATCCTGTCCAAGAGCTCGAATCCCAAGCAACTCGGACATGAGCGTGACCAAACTGTAATATTCAGCCTCCCCCGAACTGAGGGCGATCACAGCTTGGCCCCGGCACCAGTGTGTGAGGCAGTGACCTCCCGCCAACACTGCGCCGCCTGTGGTGGACTTCCTCGATCTGAGGCAGCCTGCGTGGTCTGCGTCGCACCAGCCCTGCAGCGACGTCGCCATCTCCTGGTTCCGGAAGTGCTGCACGAGCCTCGGGTGCCCTCGAAGATACCGGGCAGCCCGCTTCAACATGGCAACGTGCCGGGTAGTCGGCATCTTCATGCCTTTGGCCAAGTCCCGCGTGACCACGCCTAAGTCCGGGCGGTCTTGCGCCATGTAGGCCACACGCATGCACAAAGATCTATACCAGCGGACCTGATCATGCTGAATAGGCTCGTCGCCGTCGTCGTCGTCATCGGGCTTCTCCTTGATCCCAGGCGTCGTAACCTTACCGCCTGCTCCAGCCACTCCCAGCTCGCGAATCAAGATCTGCGAATGCCTCGGGTCGCACTCCCATTCGATGCCGGCACTCGTCCACGTCAACAAACGATTGAGCGTACGAATACTCTTCTCACAATCTGGCTCTCCAGGAGGCCCGAATATGCCCTCCACCTTGACCGTCCAGTCCTTGCTCAACTCCTTCTCGAACCAGTCGGCGTCGACCCTCGCAGCCAAAGTGACGAAGTTGTCGCCGTGGAGCGTCGTGCGCACGTCGCGCACGGGGTGCCAGAAGACACAAGGAGAACTCCGGCCCTGACGGAACCCTAATGAACGCATCTTCGATGCGACCAGCTTCTCCCACAGGGACGCCGCGTCTCGCATCCCATACATGGAACGACGTAGATGGCCAACCACATCACCTGTAAGGCCATGTGCTCGTTTGTACTCCTCCGGGAGCTCCACGAACAGCACGCGATCAGCCATAGCCCAAAAATGGGCTTTCTTGACGTCCAAGAACTGCACGACGTACTTGCCCTTCTTCGAGTAGATCTTCTCCTTGGCGGGCCACGTCGTGGTCACGGCCAGAGAGAGCAGCATCTTGAGGGAGGCCAGCGGCGGCATCGCCGCGAAATAATGATCTAAAGTGCCCTTCCGCTTGATCTCCTTCGCGACCAAGCGACTTCGCACCTGGTAGTCGGCAACGTCCCCCTTGTTGACGTCAACCCAGCGTGTGTCAATTACCTTGACGCCGCTAGGCCTGGGGACAACGTCCCAAAGACCGATCTTGTCGATGAACTTGATCTCCTCCATCCTCGCCTCCTGGGTCAAATCCGCCGGAAGCACCTTCCCGGATAGATCATCAACGTAGCATCTGTCACTGGGCTCCAAAACATCTTCGTCGTCCCACTCGAAGTGGTGCTCGTCCACTGTGGGTTGCTCGGCAGCCTCCTCCTTGATCTGCAGCAGCACGCGATCCCTCTGAGCATGAACCAGGGCAAGGATCATCTGCTCAGCCTGGTCCGCCTTCGACTCCACCTGGTCGATGAGCTGGGCAAGTAATGACATCTCCTGGTCCTCGTTCGCCTCAGGAGCCTCGTGCTTCCTCGCAACTTCCGGCTCGCTGGTATCCATGGCTGCCTGGGCGCCACGGCTCGAAGACGCTGCCATGGCTCCCTGACCCGCAACGTCCTCTGCAGGGCGTTTGGACCCCTGACCGGGTACGACATCCATAGCTTCTGGCTGCGATCCAGCCGCGCCTCCTGGCGTAGCCGCCGGGAGTCCGCGGCTCGACGACGACGCCGGAGCCTCCGCAATACGCGGACATGCCAAATCAGGCTCTCCCTCCGGAGCTGCACCTGCTGCTCGCTTCTTGGCCTTCTCCGCCTCGAGCCTCTGCTGGGCCGCTGCGAACCTAGTGCTACGATTTGGGTCCGAAGCGATGGCGGCCTCGATCCGCTTCCTGCACTCCAGGGTGTGCAACAAGCCCATCCTAGGGAGATTCCCCCGGGTAGTCTCGCATGCCGGGCACCCACTGGTAAACCCGTACTTCTCCAAGTCAGCCTTCGTAATGTAATACTTCCTCACCTGCCCATCGCCGTCGGCCGCCTGCACGGGAGCCGCCGGGACCTCCGGGCAGTCGGGGGCCATCTCCACCGCACCTGGAAGTTCTAATGCCTCCTGGTCTGCTGGGCCGTCTGGTACAGGTCTCCAAGGGAGCCCCTTCAAATTGCCAACGGCCTCTGCGTCGTAACGCTGTCCTTCCGGGACGCGCCTGACGGACTGCACCACGTGCACACCCTTGCTGGTGCCCACGATCCGCTCGGTGGTGTCAACCTTGACCCCTAAGAAGAGACCTCGTTCCCACCTGGCCTCAAGTTTATGCCGGACCCTCCTCTTGAAGTCGACGGCCTCCCCGAAGGCTGGCAGAGCAACCTGCCACTGCTTGCCCTTGACCCTCTGGTACGGGGTCATGCCGTCGTCGCTCTTGTTGAAGAGGTAATGGAGGGTCGCCGCGTGCTCGATGAGCCACGCGAGCACGGGGCTCCTGGGATCCAGCTGGATCCGCGCATACTGCTCCACATGCTCCTTGAGCGTGCGCGCGAGCCCATGCACAGTCTGCACTGCTCGCTCAACCTCGCCATTAGAAGCCTTCTCGCCTCTAGGCGCTTTCTCCTGCACCCACTCGCCCTCCCAGAGGACCTTCACCGCGTTGCACACAGCCAAGATCGACGCCTCCTGGTCGCTCTTGCCGTTGACCTTCTTGTGCCCCAGCCTGTCCAGATCTCGGACCAAGACCTTCACCGGGTAGTCGTCCACCTTGCCATCCTTCTCGAGGCCCTTGTGGGGCGCCGGATGTGCGAAGATAGCCTTCGACTTCCTGTCAAAAGCTACTAGCACAGGCAAGTCCTTCCCCGCCACGGCCTGCAACGGAGTCTCCCCGGGCGTCCCGAAGAAACCGTAATCGACGCTGAACGTGGAAATGTTCTCCTCACGATCGCGTATCCTATAATGGGGTTGGCTCTTAGCCCGCCCCCTCACACAAGCCGCACACCAACTGCGAACAGGTATGTGGCTAACCTCGTGATCCTCGATCATCTGCTTCGTCGGCTGCATGGGCGCCGACATCGCCAAAGAGTCGGTGGTCTCCTCCTCACCTGCCGCTACCTCTGGCACCACGTCCTGCGGCGCCTCCTGAACAGCCTCCGCGATCGGATAGATCGCAGGCGGTTGCGGTCTTACGGCTTCGCCTGCCGACCAAAACCCGATGGGTTCCCAGTCGGCTTGATCCAGGCGGGCAGCACGTAGATCCCATCCTTCTGGAAGATCTTCATGCTCTGGCCCGTCCTGTAGTTGTAGATGCCGCTGCCGCCGTTCGCGTCCGCGTCGAACCACACGCAGTTCCCGTTGCGAACCATGCGGCTCACGGAACTCAGCGGCCGATGGATGTCGCCGACCTCCCACGTCGTCGTCATGTCCTTCCCGTTCATGAATCCGCAGACGAGCTCCTTCTCGCCATCCTTCCTCACCTCATCCTTCGAAGCCGTCTTGTAGACCTTCGGACCCGCACCCGGCTTCAAAGGGTGGCCTGGAGCCACGCTCCGGGGAAGCATCGACGTGGAGGCGCCAGAGTCCACGATGATGTCGATCCTCTCGCGCCCTTCCTCCGTCCACTTCCGCCACGGCTCGCCCCATCCTGGGGCAAGGGAGTGCAGCTGGCCCGTGCTGGACCGAGCCTTACTCCTGCGGCGCCTTGCTGCACGCCTCGTCGCTTCCTGGGGCTGCTGATCGTCATCGTCGTCCTCGTGATCTCTCCTAGTCTTCCTTTGTCGCGACCTCCTCTCCTGCTGCTCCTTCCTCACCTGGCTTTCCTCCCCATCCTGATGGCTTCTCCTCCTCAGCTCCTCAATCCTGCGATCTTCACGCTCAGATTCCCGCCGTGGTCGTCGTCGACGGTCCTCCTGGGGATCTGCATGCTGCTCTTCCCAGGCGCTCCTGCCGGTAAGCTTGCGGACGCAGCACGGCGGTGAAGTCGACGACGACCTCCGCGCTGAAGGCGATCGGGGGGCCGGCCGCGAGACCTCATCCACAGGCACCTCAAGACCTCGGCTCGCCTTCCGCCAAGGTGGCGACGACTCCAATTTGGGTCTCGCCTGCCACTTAGGCGTCGCGCCTGGGTGGCTGGCCTGGTCGCGGCGCTCCTGTCGAGCCGCGCGCTGGGCCTGGATCCAGTTGCCCCAATCAAGACCTGAAGCTTTGCGCTCCCTGTCCTCCTTCTCCTTCTTCAGCCTCATCCTCCTCTCCTTCTGGGCCACCGTCTTGCGCTTGGCACTCGAGGGCGTCGCCGTTGTCCTCGCCTCCTTGGCACTGTCCGTGTCCAGCACGAAGAGAGATCCAATCGCACCCTCCTGCTGGACGTCCGCCGGGTAGAGCTCCTCGCTTGCACCTGAAAGCTCGTGGGCCGATCCGCCCTGGACCGGCCGACCTTTTAGGTAGCCCCCTCTGCCTCCCTTACCTCCCTTGGGAGGCTGCCCCCGCCCTGAGGGCACCGAGGGCGGAGGGAGCTGTCTGCCGTTGGCGTCGGTCTTGCTGTAGCAGTCGCGCTTCCTGCGGCCCCACCGCCAGCAGCGGTCACAATAACCTTGGAATTGGTCACTCTGCGCGCCACGTCCCGCGCCGATGCCAGAAGCCCCAGTCGGAGGCCCTCCGGCCTTGCCACCTTTGGGCAAGTCTCTGTCCCTACCTTTGCCGTCCTTTCCCTTTCCTTCCTTTCCCTTGGGTTTGCCGCCCTTCGGGACCCTCGCGAAAGAGCTGATGTCCATCGGCACGGGCCCCTCTCGGCAGACCACCTGCTCGATGTACCGCTCCACCTCGCGTTTCAAGGCGTCGTACGTGTCCAGCCGCCCGATGTTCAAGTCGATGTGGTTCTGCAGTTCGGCGGGGCACATGCTACGCAGGCATGCGCGCCGCATCCTGTCAGACAACTCTTCGCCTGTCCTGTCCTTGCTGTGGGTGTAGTCCTGTTCCCACTGCTCGATGGCGGACAACAATTGGTCCGTCCCGACCTGGGACGGCCTCAAGATCTTCTGCATCAGCCTCAAGTTGGACACTGGGTTGTTCGGGTCGTACTTGCGGTTGAGCTTCCTCCAGGCGTCAAGCCCCTGGTTCTTCTTCGTGTTCTTCACGATGTCGAACGCTGTCGTGCCCATCGTCGTCAGGCTCGTCAACACCGCGTGGAGCTGTTTGTTGATGTCCTCTGCTCCCGGGTGCCGGAGATCAACATCGTCCAACATCTCCTGGGTCACCGTCTCCTCGCCGAGTCCGGCCGCCCAGTCCAGCACGTCCTCGCCGGCAGCGAACTGCCCGCTGATCCATGTAGAGAACTTGTAGCTCCAGCCGGGCCAATCGGCCTCCTTGCCGGAGAAGGGTGCAGGCTGTTTGACAGCCTTCGTGTCGATCATCCCCTGCCTCCTGCGAACCGCGATCTCGGCCTCCAGGAGCCTCTCCTGCTGCTGGAGCGCGGCCTGAAGAGCGTCGCCTTGCTCCCCAACCTGCGCGCTCACAGCACGCAGCGCCTCATTCGTCCTTTCCTGCGTCTGCCGCAGCGTGTCGGCAAGCGCTGTGAAGGCCTGCACCACCTGCTGCTCGTTCATCGTACCTGCCAGCGCGTCGCCTGACGCACCGGAGCGCTAGCCTCTTCCAGCGCACTCAGAACAGCCCCGCCATCGCCGCTGGCGGGTGTAGATTGGGTGGAGCGCTAACCGCGCTCCGCTACCATGAGTAGGGTTTTTCCCTGAACCGCAAAACGGCTGCGGACGCGTGGGATCTCGACATGCGCGCGCGAAGAAAAAACGAATGTGTCCCGCATGGTATTATTTGACAGGGATGATGGCCCTGGCAGGTGCGCAACCGTTGTCGCAGAAGTTCGAAAAAGTTGCTCGCAAAAGCCCGTTTGACAGAAATGTTTAAAAAGTGTTGGGTTTCCTACGAATCCGCAAGAGCGCGCGGGATGAGATTTTGACATTTTTTTGTTGAAAAACCATTGGTTTTTTGATGTTTTTATGTTAAAATCGCTGCGAACACTAAGGTTTTGGAAGGATTTCGTCTTGCGCGCGCGAATGTCCACTTTACCTTATTTTTTGCAAGGGATTCTTGAAATTTGATTATATTAGAACAAGAAATGTCATTTTCTATTGTTTTTTGCAAGGGAAAGCGGATTACAACAAAACAACCGGATCCTGTACACACCCTCTTTTCTGAGGCTTCCTCACGAAAATGATGAAAATGTAGCTGCGGCCTAGGCGGCGCAGGGGGGGCGCGCACCAGGGGGCCCAACAATAATTATTCTTTAGAATAAATAATGTTCAACAACAACAACAACAACAACAACAACAACAACAACAACAACAATCATTTTACCCGAACGCGTGGTGTTCTCCCCAGTGCCAGGGTTTTCATACGACACCAGGCAATACCCCCACTTCGTGGGGGGGCATTCAAGCTCTACCAAATATCCAAACGACTCTTCGCCACCACCCACACCCAGCTTCCCGCCCTATGACGTTCGGACACTTCACTTCGTGGCATGCGGACGACCGTGGCTACTATTCAGGGCCCCGCGGCCGACGACGACGGCGTGCGCGCGCGAAGAAAAAACGAATGTGTCCCGCATGGTATTATTTGACAGGGATGATGGCCCTGGCAGGTGCGCAACCGTTGTCGCAGAAGTTCGAAAAAGTTGCTCGCAAAAGCCCGTTTGACAGAAATGTTTAAAAAGTGTTGGGTTTCCTACGAATCCGCAAGAGCGCGCGGGATGAGATTTTGACATTTTTTTGTTGAAAAACCATTGGTTTTTTGATGTTTTTATGTTAAAATCGCTCCGAACACTAAGCTTTTGGAAGGATTTCGTCTTGCGCGCGCGAATGTCCACTTTACCTTATTTTTTGCAAGGGATTCTTGAAATTTGATTATATTAGAACAAGAAATGTCATTTTATAGTGTTTTTTGCAAGGGAAAACGGATTACAACAAAACAACCGGATCTTGATCACATCGTATTACCTGAGGCTTCCTCACGAAAATGATGAAAATGTAGCTGCGGCCTAGGCGGCGCAGGGGGGCCGTGCACCAGGGGTCCCAACAATAATTATTCTTTAGAATTAATAATGTTCAACAACAACAACAACAACAATCACTTTACCCGAACGCTCAGTGTTCTCACCAGTGCCAGGGTTTTCATGCGACGCCAGCCAATACCCCCACTTTGTGGGGGGGCAGTGCAAGCTCTACCAAATATCCACACGACTCTTCGCCACCACCCACACCCAGCTTCCCGCCCTATGACGTTCGGACACTTCACTTCGTGGCCTGCGGACGACCGTGGCTACTACACTGGCGTGGAGTACACACCCACAGAAGTTGTTAAGCCTACGTTCGATTCGGACAGCGCGCGCGGGTAGAAATTTTGAAAAGTCGTGCAGGTGTTTTTCGAGGACCTACGGTGCGATTCGTGTGATTTTATGATGCGCGGTGCTAAAATTCTTAAGAAGCCCAATGGTTTTTGGAGATTTCGGCGTGCGCGCGCGAAGAAAAAACGAATGTGTCCCGCATGGTATTATTTGACAGGGATGATGGCCCTGGCAGGTGCGCAACCGTTGTCGCAGAAGTTCGAAAAAGTTGCTCGCAAAAGCCCGTTTGACAGAAATGTTTAAAAAGTGTTGGGTTTCCTACGAATCCGCAAGAGCGCGCGGGATGAGATTTTGACATTTTTTTGTTGAAAAACCATTGGTTTTTTGATGTTTTTATGTTAAAATCGCGAACACTAAGCTTTTGGAAGGATTTCGTCTTGCGCGCGCGAATGTCCACTTTACCTTATTTTTTGCAAGGGATTCTTGAAATTTGATTATATTAGAACAAGAAATGTCATTTTATAGTGTTTTTTGCAAGGGAAAACGGATTACAACAAAACAACCGGATCTGGATCACATCGTTTTACCTGAGGCTTCCTCACGAAAATGATGAAAATGTGGCTGCGGCCTAGGCGCGGCGGGGGGGGCGTGCACCAGGGGGCCCAACAATAATTATTCTTTAGAAGTAATAATATTCAACAACAACAACAACAACAACAACAACAACAACAACAACAACAACAACGCAGCAATGCAACGAAGCTCCACACCGCACAACCCCACTTCAGCCACGCGCCCAGGGACACCGAATGACAATTCGGCCCCCCTTTGCTCTGCTTTACGCCGCTCTTGGTTCTCCGAGTGCCCTCCCCAAACCGCGCAGGTCCTTACGCCTCGCTCCGACCGTGGGAGGGATCGGCAAGCTCCGCCGCCCCCGCCCCCTGAGATCCGACGTTCCGAAAAACGCTGCCACAGCGTGTGGCGGGCTTGCTTTCCACCATCACCACCACCAGAAGTAGGAGGGGGAGGGGGTCCTCCTCCTCCTCCTCCTCCTCCTCCTCCTCCTCTTCTTCTTCCTTCTCCTACTCATCCTCCATCTCCTTCCCCCTCCAACTTGTAGTGGTGGTGGTGGGAAACAGGCCCATCATCGTGAACAGAAACGCGACCGGAGCCCTAGCTCCCACCTCTCTACGCCATTTCTCGAGCCGCACCGACCTGTGAGGGCCCCCCGGGCCCGAAGCCTGGCGAAGGCGCCCGCTGAAAAGACAGATCGCGACGCCATGATCTCAGTGGGAGGCGAGCCGAGGAGCAGGAGCCAGGAGGAGGAGCCAGGAGGCAGGGGGGGGGGTCGAGCCGAGGAGGAGGACGAGGGCGGCGGAGGAGAGCGGATGAGAAGGATCCGCATCCATCTGTGAGGGCCCCTGGGGGCCCGACACCAGGCGAGAGCGCCCGGCTCGAACGCGTGGAGCCGCGCGGATCTCTCGAGGCTCGGCTCGCCCCGTCGGCACCGCGCCGCCAGCGGGCCGAGCGCGGCCACCGGCGCGCCCCCGGGCGGGGCCACGACGCGATCTCCGCGTCCGAGGCCGTGCGGCCCTGGGCCTTCACCTGGCGCGCGCGCCGCGCTCCGCGGTGCCGCCCGCCGGCGGGAGGGAGGCTCGGAGGCCCCCCCTGGGATCCGGGCGCTGCAGTGGCTTCGCAGCGGGCGTCGTCGCCGCGGTTCGGGCCCTGGGGCCCTCACGCATCGATCTGGCTGGCAGAAAGCAGCAGGGCGTTTTGGGCCCTGGGGCCCTCACGGGCTCCTGGCGTGATGTGTTGCCGCGCCGTATCTGTTCTTGTTCGGACATCAGGCTCTGACATCCTCACGTCGTGAGATCGAGAAAAAGCATGACCATACTTGCTGGTCAAAATCGGCCTCCAGGGGCCGTCTCTGGGCGCTAGCAACCATCAAATATGCTCTGGGATGTGAAGCTGATCCAGGGGAAAGGGTCCAGACCTGTGAAGGAGCCACGCTACGAATACATCACGACGGTCGGCTGCCTGGGCGTTTCTTGTTTTCTTTCTCTCTGAGGGGGGCTCCGCGCCGAAGACCGATCCAGGTGTGAGCTGAAGCATGCTGTCCTATCAGCGTGGCTGCTGCACCGTCAGCGGTGAAAGGTTGTGACCAGCGGGTGCGGCCGAGACAAATCGGAGAGAGCGTCTTCTGGGAGCGCTCTCCCGCACTGGTGCAAAATCCCACGCTCTCCCGCTCTGGAGCCGCCCCCCCTGGCTTAGGGCGCAACATCTTCAGGACGCAGGGGCCCAAGGGCCCCCCGTTTCTCTTGGCCATGGATCTCAGGATTCCTTTCAGGTGGTGGTTCGGCAAGCCGTGGGCCGACTGGTTTGCGAAACTGGGGGCCCACCAACACGCGGTGCCAGGGTGTCTGCTAGTTCCTGTCAGCCGAGCAGGCGGGGTTGAGGTACGTGTCCTGGGCCGTCGCTCGAGCTTCGGAACTGAACGCGTGGCGCGGGCAAGCTGCCCGCGCTGAGCAGCCCGCCCTGGCCCTTGCGAACGCCCCTGGGCGTCGCTCGGCACGATCTCGTGCGGGTCGTGCCGCGCAGGGAGCACCGCTGTGAGATCGGTGCCCGCGTTGCCCGCACGGAGGGCCACATGTCGCGTAGGCGGAAGAAGAAGAAGTGCAGACCGCCTGCTGCTGGCAGGCGGACGCGAGGCAGCTCCTCCAGCAGGCGGACTTGGTGCTAACCACGGCTTTCGGGGCCTGCTCCTGGGCGGAGAGGTTTCCCGTGCCTTATCGGTCGCCGACAGGGTCCTGGGGCCGGTTGTTCTCAGGGCGGTGGAAGACCAGACAAGGATGTTCGAGGTTTTAAATGCGATCGGGCACGAGCCCTTTTTCGCACGGCAGCGTCGTGATCTGCACGAAAAGTGGGCTCTCCTGTACGGGAGAGTTTGGTTGGGCTGGCCGGAGCGGTCTCAATGTTGACTGCCCTGGACCCCCTATGGAGAGCCTGGAGCCGTCGCCGCTCTCCGAAGGAAAGTTGGCAAGGTCCAGAAGGGTCTACATCCACACACAAGGGGCCAACTGCAAGCTTGCAAGTTGCATTGCGCATTGCATCTAATGCGAGAAGACGATCGATGAAACATGTGTGCGGGGTGGGGGTCGGGGGGGACTCCTTAAGACGTGATGTCCGACTCTTGTGGGCAAATGTACATGGAAGATAAGTACACACATGCTGAAACATCCGAGCGAACCAACCTACGCTCGCAACCAGCACAGTAGCGGCACAAACAGCACACAATGCGTAATGTTACACCTACTGCACATATCATGTGCCAACTTCTACGGCAACACCTTGCCTGTCTTGAACTGCATCTGCTTATCGTCCGCGTCCTATGACAACTCATGGCACCTACAATTCCGATCCGCTCGTGCTGTTGGCTCCCCTCCTAACCCTCCACTTCGGCTAAGTCTGGCCCGTCGGCCGCCCAGGCGTGCACCCGACGAGCGCGGGGGGGGGATCATTAAAGACATAGCTTCCAGGCCAAAAACTGATGTTTCTAGTCATCATGCCGAGCGCCGCTACGTGGACACGACCCCCTGGCACTTTCTTCATTATCATCCTGCACTATGTGTTCTGAGATGAGGTCATTTTTCTAGTTTGAGCATATCCTAGCTCAATTGGTGGACATCTGCTGGGCCCCGTGCCTCCTCCCTCCTCCCTCGTGCGCCGCCCTCTTCCCCTTCCCGAGCTCCCGAGCTCGCTTCGACGACGACGCCGACGCCGACGCCGACGCCGACGCCGCCGCCGCCGACGACGACGCCGAATGACACGGCCGACGCCTACGCCGACGCCGACACCAACGTCGACGCCGACGCCGACGGCGACGAAGCCGACCACGACGAATGACACCGCCGACGGCGACGGCGACGGCGACGACGACGGCGCCGACGACGACGAATGACACCGCCGACGCCGACGCCGACGCCAGCGCAAAACGCCGACGCCGACTCCGACGCCGACGACGGCGAGACCGCCGCTGACGACGCCGCGACGAGCCCAGGGCGCACCTGGGCGCAGAAGGCGGCGGCCTGTTGCGCCTCGCCGCTGGGCGGCCGGGCTGCAGCCTGCCGATGGGCGCGCGCCCGCGCGAGGGCTCGGCGAGTGGATCACCACCATCGTCGCCGAGCCGATCGCTGCCGCCTCCTCCTCCTCATCCTCCTCCTCTTCTTCCTCCTCCATCTCCTCTTCCTCCTCCTCCTCCTCCTCATCATCATCAGCATCATCATCATCATCAGCATCACCATCCTCCTCCTCCTCCTCCTCCTCCTCATCATCATCATCATCATCATCATCATCATAATCATCACCACCATCATCATCATCATCATCATCATCATCAGCATCATCATCATCATCGTCGCCATCCGCAGCGTCATCATCATCATCACCACCATCACCACAATCGTCATCATCATCAGCACCAGCATCATCATCATCATCATCAGTCTCATCATCACCATCATCATCCACAACATCATCATCAGCATCATCATCAGCATCATCATCATCATCATCATCATCATAATCACCACCACCACATTCATCATCATCATCGGCATCATGAGCATCATCATCATCATGATCATTATCATTCTCATCATCACAGTCATCATCACCAGCATCAGCATCATCATCATCACCATCACCATCATCGTCACGATCCTAATTTTCATCACCACCAGCATCATCATCCAACTCATCAGCATCACAATCATCGTCATCATCACCATCATAATCATATCACCATCACCATCACCATCATCATCACCACTATCATTATGATCACAATCATCCTCGCCCTCATCCTCATCCTCATCCCCATCGTCATCATCATGATCACCAGAATCATCACCAGCATCATCATCATCATCATCATCATCATCATCGTCATGACCATCGTCATCATCACCATCGTCAGCATCATCGTCATCAGCATTGTCATCATCAGCATCGTCATCATCATCAGCACCAGCATCATCATCATCAGTCTCATCATCACCATCATCATCCACAACATCATCCTCAGCATCGTCATCATCATCATCATCATCCACAGCATCCACCACACCATCATCATCATATTCATCCACGACTCCTTCTCCTCCTCTTCCTCATCCTTCCCCTCCTCCTCCTCCTCCTCCTCCTCCCTCTTGCTCCTCCTGCTCCCCCTACTCCTCACCCTCTGACTCATCTTGGCTTTGGCCTACGTGCGCCGCGTGAACCTGGATCTGGTGCCTCCGCCACGTGGACAGCCACACCGCCAGCAGCGTGACGGCCCGACCGCTAACAAGCGCGCATCCACCGCTGCCGACCTCCGATCCGTGGCTGTGGTCGCCGCCAGCGTTGATGACCCAAAACCTCCGACGGTGTGACCTTCGTCAGTGCAAGCGTGTTTCCTCGATTTCGGCCGGGATTGGGCCACTGGTCTCTGGGGGCCTCCAATATCGAGTCTCTTGTAATTCAGACACGGGCCCCCCCGACTTAGCTGTCTGTCAGGACGGTCAAGGCGATCATTTATCGTTTCCAATGTTCCCTCGATGTGTTTGGCCAACTCGATCTACAAGACGATCTAGCATATGTGGTGACGCGCGACATGTTGATATTGTACGCCGACGGTACACAGTTACCCTCTCACCACAAGCAAAACATCGATAATATGCTCCTGGCTATTATCACAGCAGGAAAGAAACACAGTTTGGAATTTAATCGGGACACAACGTTATACATGGAATTCTCAACAGACACTGCAATATCACGACCAGGCGGGGGCGTAATCAAGTCCGCCCGCGAAGCTGTTTACCTAGGAGGACTGATCACCTGCGATGGGAAGATTGCCACAGAACTGACGCGGAGTATAGGAGAATGCACAAAGGTGTTCAAGCAGTTGGATAAGCTCTGCAACCACGCCTCGATTGGAAAACTGCGAAAGCAAACTATCTACACAAGTTGTGTGGTGAGCAAGATGCTTTACTCCTTGGACTCAGTTTGGCGACTAAAAGCAGACAAGGCACGCCTTGATGCTTTCCACTGCAAGTGTCTACGACGCATGATCGGCGTGCCTCCCCAGTCCATCTCGAGAGTTAGCAACGCAGACATTCTGAAGAGAGCCGGCGTGAAACCTCTGACTGAAGTTCTTCTTGACAGGCAGGAGAAGGCGTACCTCAAGATTTCTGGAAGTGGGCATCGCTCCCTGGTGCGGCAAGTTGTGTGCGAACCAGATGGATTTCCAAAGTGTTGGGCGCGCCATCGACGACGTGGCAGGCCTCGACAGCAATAGGCCTCTTCAGTGTACGGTCTGAGGCAATCTCGCCTTCCTCCCTCCCCTCCCCTTTCCTAATTTGGCAACACCCACTGTAAACTTGCAGTTCATGTTTTCCGCTCGGTTGCAGACGTCGCAACCTGCAATTGCCAACGCGTCCTACCGGATGCACGGCCGAGCGAGCGAACGAATGTTCCCTCTTGGGGAAATAAAAATGGAAATAAGATGCACTTGATTCAAGACTCGCGCTCTCGCACAATTTACGAAAGCGCCACGCTCTCGCCATTCAAGAATTGCGCTCTCGCCTTAGACTTCCTGACCCGCCCGCTCGACCCGCCAGTCAGGGTCCGCCCGCCTGACCCACCCAGTATGGTCAGCAGTCGCCCCTCGCTGCTTTTCGCCCGTTCCGATGCCCCTCGCTGACCCTCGCGATACCGCAATCGGATTTGAAGGCCCCGCCGCTGCCTTCGTGGCTTCCTCGATGCCTTTCATGGCCCCGCTATTTGAGCCCCTCGATGCCGTTCGCGGCACCGCGGTCGCCTTTCGTAGCCCCCTCACTGACCTTCGTTGCCCCTATGTAGCTCTTCGTGGGCGTATGCCTGCCCTTCTTGGCCCCTTTGCGGCCCTCAGTGGCCCCCTTGCGTCTAAGGCTGCACCGGTTACGCGTGGCAGGGAAGAAAGACATCCACCCTAAAAGGAGTACGATCGAAGACAAGGAGGGCTGGTATGCAGGGTTTGGGAAACACATATTGGTTGACACGCTTGCGTATAAGAGCGAATAATACCTATACGACCACCCTTCGGGTGATAAGGAGGTTCGGGGGGGGAGGAACCAACGTCTCACTCGATCGGTCTCACTATCGATCTCACTATCGATCTCAGTATCGGTCTCGCTCGATCGATCTCCCGATCGATCTCACAATCGATCTCACGATCTCACTCGATCTCACTCGATCTCACTCGATCTCACTCGATCTCACTCGCATCATCATCATCATCATCATCATCGCTCATCATCATCATCATCAGATCATCATCATCATCATCATCATCATCAGCAGCATCAACATCAGCATCAGCATCATCAGCAGCATCATCATCACCATCACCATCAACATCATCATCATCATCATCATCGTCGTCATCATCATCATCATTATCATCATCATCATGTCATCATATCATCATATCATCATCTCATCATCGCATCATCATCATCATCATCATCATCATCATCATCATCATCATCATCATCATCATCATCATCATCATCATCATCATCATCATCATCATCATCATCGCGGGGCACCGCGGGACACCGGCGGGACACCGCGGGCCACCGGCCGCCTGGAAGGGAGACACTTGGTCCGGCCGCGCCTCAGCCACACGGGACACCGGCGGCACACCGCGCGCCACCGGCCGCCCGGGGGAGAATCATTTGGTCCGGCCGCGCCTCAGCCACAGGAGACTTGCCTCTCGCCCGCCCACGCAGCTTCGCCTCGCCCGCACGGCACGCACGAACACGAAACCGAATTTCCCGGTAGGGGGGCTCTCCGTTCCACTTCGATCTCACCCCCCAACCTCCGATTAAGATGGTTTTTGTTGTTTGTGGTTGTTGCTGGTGGTTGGTTGTTGGTTGTTGGATGTGAGTTGTTGAATGTTAGTTGTTGTTTGGCTGGTTGTTTGTTGTCATGCTCTCTTGTCTAAAGAATGCTTCTTGTTTGATCCCTCCTCTCCGGGATACCCTCTTTTTTCATTCACAATGATCCAGCTGGGGTTCGCACCTTGTTTCTTTTTACTAGGGGAAGTGAGGTGCCACCAAACTGTTTGCTCCTGGCCCCCTGTTTACAACAACAGCGGTTCCCGCCTGATACTTCCTCACACTGTATTCCCAAATCGCGCTCTCGCGCGGGACTTCCTCACAATGTATACAGGAATAGCGCTGTCGCGTGAGACTTCCTCGCACTTGATTCAGACGCCGCGTCCTCGACACTCAGGAATTACGCTCTCGCTTTGGATTTCCGCCCGACTGATTCAGGAGTCAAACTATCGCTCGAGACCTCCTGGCGATTATGCAGAACGCACGCTTCAACAACCCGCCTGCCCCTTGTCCCTTACTTCAATCCGTCTTCTCTTCCCCTGCCATGGGGGCTGCACGAAATACGGGTCGCGAAAACCCGAAGGAGGCACGGCCAAAAACGAAGAGGGCGGGTATCGAATGTTGTTGTTGCTGTTGTTGCAAAAACCCCATATCAAAATAAAATATCAGTGACCGTGCGAGCCCGCAGGGCCATGGGGACATCTTTTCTCAGGAGGAAGTGAGGCAACCGGGAGCCGACACTCACAGGCACGGTCCGGTGGATGTCGCAGAGGTCCGAACCTCCAACACCCCTGGGGAAAAAAAGAAACAAACAAGAGGCGAAAGCGGGTGGGTAACCAGAGCGTTAACGGGGGGGAGCTTGAGCCACAAAATTGTGCGGCCCCGCTCTCCCCCCTTCCAGTTACAACATTCCATCCAACCAGTGACCGCGAGAGCCCGCGGGACCATGGGGACATCTTTTTCACAGGAGGAGGTGAGGCAACCGGGAGCCGACACTCACAGGCACGGTCCGGTGGATGTCGCAGAGGTCCGAACCTCCCAAACCCGTTCCCGACTGGTCAACTGGCTTCCAGCCGCGCTCCATATAATTCGTTCAACCTCGACGTCCTATTGTTTCGCATCACGTTGATAAGGTGCTGACCCAAGACATGACGAAACTTCTGTGTGTAGGCGGCTGCGACAGCTGTCCACTGAATCCCGTCCTC